AGTAGTTACCCTACAGATTACACTGAGTACAGTATTTACCCTACCGAGTACACTGAGTACAGTAGTTCCCCTACAGATTACACTGAGTACAGCAGTTACCCTACCGAGTACATTGAGTACAGTAGTTACCCTACCGATTACACTGAGTACAGTAGTTACCCTACAGATTACACTGAGTACAGTGGTTACCCTACAGATTACACTGAGTACAGTAGTTACCCTACTGAGTATGTTAGTAACCTACACATAGCTACAGTTACATGTAACTGTGTGTTGAGTATCATAGTTACACTGAAACTAACATAAATTATGGTAAGTATTTAAAAGGTTACATGGAGTATTGGAGGTACCTAGGTATATCCTGTACACCCAAATATATATATATATTTATGATAAGTATCCTAAAAGCTACAGGGTATACCTTAAATATTGAGTAACACAGCATTATCCTTCAGATAAACATTATATTGCAAGTTCTACAGAACTGTAAAACATCGTAGACTTTTTTGTCTGGTGAATCATAGGAATGTGCAGCAACATCAGAAAACAGAAATATAAAGTTCCAATCTCTAACAAAATATGTGATAGCTGTAAAAACAGACAGACCTGGTATTGGAATACTGATGAGTAAAACCTAAATACAAACTTGTTGATAATCACAGTCTGACATCTTGTAAAAATATGTACGCCTTAGGTTACAGGAATATGTCTGTTCCCGGTGTCTAGTGTTTCCTCCGGGGATCCTATGCTGGATCTTTTATTGGGAGTGTACGTCCTGGGCAGGGCAACAGTGCAGAAGGTTGGGAAAAGTTCCCAAAGCACAGTGCACAGGTTTAAATCAACAATAGCCAAACTATCAACCACCCAAGCATTTGGAGTTTTCCAAAACCTTTCAATTAGTCCTGTATAAACAACCTTTATGAAATATTTCTGAACTAGAACATGCTTGTAAAACATACATATACTTGCAATTCTGCTTTAATGAAACAGAACGAAGCAAGAATTCAAACTTAAGTCAGTAAATCTGATATATTCCTGTGATTCCCATCAAGATGTATAATCAAGTTAAAATTTCATGCCTGTTTGAAAAAAAAAAAAGTTTGATGAAATTTGAAAGGAGCTCTATGCAAAGTTTTATCAAACACAATGAAGCTAAAATCTATAAGTCACAGTGACCTACATTTGAAATATTGCTATAATACTCCTCAAAATAAGAAATGATATCAACATATAAAATGTCATGATTGCTGGACTGTTAGTACTTGAGTAAAGGAGCTAATTGCAAATTCTAACCAAGAGGTTGTACTGATGAATGGACAGGGACAGAGAAGCCAACAGTTCATGTCAAATTCACTTTATTGCAGAAGCATAAAATAAAGTCATTTATATAAATCTTAACATGAAAACAGGAGACTTCTAAACAGACATGTACACTTCCACTTGGCACATAGTAAGTCTAGCTGAGGTATGGCATGATATGCTAAGTTTCTTCTTCCCTGTAAATGACAGTTAACATATCTGTACATTCTGTTTCAAACTTTAAGATAATTACTTGCATAATAATAACTTCCTGTTTACATCTCTTACATCTCGGGTACAGGTTCCTGTTGATCGTTGCCACCAATAATGTATTGATTGACCTGTTTACTGCACATACTACTACAAACCTATAGTAACAACCTCACAGACTTGACCCCTCGTTGTCGTTATAACAAAATGATGGAACAAAGTATTCAGTTAACTCACCATAAATTTACAGGCTTATTTTGATATCAAAGAAAGGAAGCATATTGTGACAATTACTGAAAAAAATCAACAAATTTGGAATTTCCTATGACCAGTTAATGAGTTAAATGTTAGCTCCATGTATCAGCATATATACATCCAGCAGTGGACTGCTGGCCCGTATTGTATGACAAACCACATTGTTATTTCTAGTGATTGAACTAATTTTTCTGCCCGATGTATTTCGCACAGTAGATATACCCAATACAAAGTAATGACACACACCCAGATAATATAATGTAAGCCCCAATCTGGAACCAAATTTCTTTAAATCTACACATTCAGAAACCCCATCTGGATCTTGCTGACAAGAAAAAAGCCACATTCAAGGATTAACTTTCTAGCTGTTTAGCTGCCTTTCTATTTGTACATACATAACAAAGAGTACTTTCATTTGTGGACTCAAAGCCGAGTTTGCGATGACTGACAAATACTGGCTTAGAGTCGCTTGACCTCTCTATGTGGACACATACGAACTGTTGATTGACAGTTATTTGACAACTAATACATAATAATTTGACAATTGGGTATTTTTAAATTATCAACACAGAACTGTTAGCCTAATCAGAGACCTGTAATATAGTGTCTGTCCTGATTGGCATACAACTATATATGTGTACAGTACTGTTAGCCTAATCAGAGACCTGTAATATACAGTCTCTGCCCTGATTGGCATACAACTATATATGTGTACAGAATTTTGTGGGTGTACAACGCAGCATGCTAAAAGTGGGGAGAAGTTCGTACTGAAGAAATAACCACAGATATCATCTGATATGCATATAAAAAGTATTCAAAAATTGTAGATTACAAATGAAGCCTTTGTGTTTTTTAGTTTGTTTATGGTAAATATAAACAAAATTGGTCATAAATCATAAATTGCATTTGCACATGTTTAGCTGATGACTATACATGAACTGTATAAACAGGGATCCAAATAAGCAACAGTGACACATACATAACAAATATCTTTTAGTCAATTAACAAAAATTGTCAAAAGGACTTTGTAAGAAATTAGTATAATCCTAATTATATGTATTTTATGTTCATCGACGAAGAACAATCTCAAAATATTATACAGCACGATCCTCTTCATAAATGCTTATCTAATGATATAAAACTCACAGTATCAGATGTAGTGTAAAAAGTGTATGCTAAAGTTGTACATACTACGGTAAACATAGGCTAAAGTTGTATATACTACGGTAAACATAGGCTAAAGTTGTATATACTACGGTAAACATAGGCTAAATTATCATATGAATAAATCTTGCAGTATGATGATTTCCTTTCATCAGTTTGAAGGAAAAGGAAATAAAAATACAAAAGAATCATGCAACGTTATAAAAAGGAATACCTGATATATTAGACTGTGATAGCTTCTATAGACCTGGTTACATAATACATCGTCAATTAAAAATCGTCAATTAAAAAGTAGTCGTAACTGATCAATGTCACCGATTTTTCGCAGAATACAGCTACGTATACGGTGGCACAGGGGGAACATTTTGTCCTTATACAAGACATGTTTCTGGTTACAATTTATGATATTGAAAAGATTCTTTGTGAACTTCTTTTTCACAAAACTCCTCATAAAAGTGGCGATAATTTGTCTAAGCATATTTCAATGTACTTCTGCTCGATTTTGAAATATTCCAAATCAAACTTCATTCAGCCATTGATTTAGACCTACATTTTACAAACTACAGTTCACTCTTCTTGAAAATATTACTTGACATATGAAAATTATAACATCTTAATCATCTTTACCACCAAACCAGCTGTTAGAAAAGTGACAATATTGAATATTAAAGCAGAGAGAAGGAATTTGATATAAATGTATCTTTACTTTGTTTGTTCCTACAATGGTGAGGAGAATGGGAAGATGCAAAGGTTTCAGGAATTGTCAGAAAGAGCTCCTCTACAACTTTATATCAGATCAGGTTCGTCAACAATTTTAAATGAATATTCGTGAAAGATTACTTATCTTACATCATAAGACATTTCTATTTTCTACAGAAAATATCTGCAACATATTAAACTCGTTCTTATATTAATTAACATTTAAAGTTATTTGTGTTTGAATGTATCTGATTTCCTCACCGTATGGACTAGGAGGATCATGCTAAAAAACAAGTTTGTACAATGTTCATGAGAAAAAACTCTCTTACATTGTAACAAATGGTTATTATTATATATGGTATTTACAAATATATTGAAAAGCATGCTGAATTGAGTTTCTGAAAGAAAAGCAACTTAAGATTCAAGATCTTCTAAGATACTGAAAATCAATAAACAGATTTCACTATGTTACATTAACAATAAACTTGTATTTGGTTTTATCAAAGTCAGCTGATCATGAGGTACCCAATATATTTGTTCTGATAAAATCTTGAAAGCATTCTTAATTTCACTGTACAGTCGTATTGTTGATAAAAGGTATTAATTTTGTGACAGAATTAAAATAACAGACACAAACTTGTCAGCTTTACTGAAACAGAACAAGGCATGCAAATACAGCTCTGTCAACATTGTACAGCAACCCTTATGTTATCATAACAATGTGATTTTAAATAAAGTCTACAGAAATTCAGGACCAACGCAAACACAGAAAAGAATAAAATTATGAACTCCAATCAAAACTATTTGTACCATAGAATCCTAGATGTTTCCATACCTGGTTGTTTTCGGTACTTAAGAAATGGATGTTTCCATACTTCTTTGTAAAGACAAAGAATGCAGAAGAATCATAAAATTTATAAAACCAGCAACACACAGGGCACAAAATGTAAATGAAATAAAAAGTTGAAAAGTTATTGGAATTGCCAAAAATCTTATAAAATATTGAAATGACATTTGGGAAGTACCAAAACATCTCAAATAAGTACCAAAACATCTCAAAATCTCAAATAAGTACCAAAACATCTCAAATAAGTACTGAAACATCTTGGTACCGAAACGACCAAGTACCGAAACATCTTTACTCCATCTCAAATACTAAAACTGGATAACAAAACAAACTTTTTCAAACATAACAAATTCTGAAAAGATGCAAAATTCAATCCCAATAAATCATTTCTATCATCAATGATGCAACATGGTCCAGCATGTTATAAACTTCTAGCAAAAATCAATGTGTCTATAATGTTAGGGAAAAGTCAGGGATGGATATAAGTTTGTTGGCTGCATACCCCATTCCGATGCAACCAACTTACCACCGGCTCTGTCTTACTGATGAAAGTGTCCAGCATTAAGTTACAGAACTGATCAACCCAACCAACAGGGCTCACATTTACACTCTCATCCGTGTCATCCATGTCCTAAAATCAAGTCATGACATTCCAACAAATTAGAATTGCTCTTTTTCAGCGATCCCTTACGATTTTTTATAATTAATTTTCACAATTTTATTTTTACGTTTTGTTTCCAGAACTTTTGAAAAATATCAGTACTATTATAACCTAGGTAATTGATCATTAGCTAGATAAATGTACATTGCACAATAACTTCTGTAACCAGTATGGCACTCTGCTAATGGTGTCACCCGCAGGTTACGTATAATAATTTACTGTTCATGATTGGTTGCTTTTTAGAATTATCAGTTAAGTATAAGCCTTTCACCACTGTAGACCATAATGGACTCATCCAGATCAATGCATGGTAGAATCTACTAAAGTTACATAGGGGTGAAAGGGATAATAACCAATCACAACTGTATAGTGTAACGTGTTTTTACTAAACTTACTGTAACAAATACAAATAACATCTGTGAACCAGTCATTATATAAATATAATATAACTGTTTTACTTTGTATGTATATATATATATATATGCCTAAACAACAGATTGTTGATAAACGGGGGAAATGAGATCCAACATCCGCTAGTGAATGTTCTGAGACTCCTCCTAGGATGTATGGTCATCTCTTCTTTTGAATAAAGATTATTGAATAGAAGCAACAATTTGGAGAATAATCACTTGTTTGTCTTTATACTATCTTTAGTGAATTTGAAAGGTTTTTTTAATGTCAATGGAAGTATACAAGAATATATGCTTACCTGAAACAGAAATAATTTCACAAGTAGGGGTTTTATTTAAATAAAATCAATTGTGTATATAGACATTGTCAGTAACACTAAAAAACTCTTCACTGCATATATTTGGGGAAAGATGTGAAAACATTACTGGATGTCCAGCCCATGTTGGAATGTTGTAACTACAATACGGAATGTCTATTCCTCCTCTGGGCCCTGACAAGGCACTAATGAGGACCAGAGAGTAATCCCTGTCCTCTAACCAGGGTATGTATTAATGAGGGAAGGTGGGTGTTGTGATCCACATGGTTCCTCCATCCTGGTCTAGCCATAATAATCTGCCCTTGATGGGACACCAGCATGGTATATTATGCATGTCACCTGATTAGGATACAGCTCAAGTAGCTGACACAGCACAATCTGAGTAGTGAAGTAGATCAATCTTAATTTATATATATATTCATTTAATGAACATTTTAAGTATCCTCTCTATGACTGGGAGTAAAATGGTAGAAGTTATTTTTATAACCAATGTATTTTTTTTGTTGGGAGGGGACGGGGTGGGGAGTTGCAACCGTTATTAGTGTCTATGTGTTGAGGTGTTGGGGGTGGGGGAGTTGGAAGCTATGTTTGAATGTTTATGGTATGCGACGTTAAACAAATATTCTTGTATCTCCTACGTTAAAGAAATATTCTTGTATCTTCAGTCCTAGATCTGCTAGGACTAACAAACTTGTTATTCATAGATATTTAAAACAATGTCCCAAGCTTGAAGGCACTTTAAAACTGTTCAAAAATTACTTTAACTATAGTCTACTATTGTGACATTGTCAACAGGTATGCTTTTCCACAGCATAAATTATCTATAGCTAGTAATCAATGGATGCTGAAACCGGGTAGTTGGGTACTAGAATCAACATCTGCCTGCTGTGTAACGGAATCGACTGTTATGTCTGCATGTATTCTTGGTTATTAGACACACCTGGTGTTCCCAACAATGTTCTACTGTAGAACATCCCCCACTGTATACCTGTGGTCAAATATATGTAGGTGATCAATGACAGGTGTGAAGGTTACCTGTCACAATAATATACAGGTACAACACTACCTGGGACACTACAGTACAGGTACAACACTACCTGGGACACTTCAGTACAGGTACAACACTACCTGGGACACTTCAGTACAGGTTTGTGGGGGTTGTGGAGTTACAGGAATAGCGAGGTTGTATGGGGGTGTTGGAATGTTGTCATTTCTCCATTAAATATATATAGCAGTAATAATTAGCGAGAATACAGGCCTTTATTGTGTACACTATATTAGAAGACACACTCATCTCAAAACTATGTCAAGAGTTGATTCATACTATTTACATCTTAAAACTTCACACACACAAATATAACATACTTACCTATACTATCAGACCCATTACAACATGTACGTATTATAATACACGTCAAAGACACACATCGTGTGATACTTTAGTTTGCTATCGAAATGTTGTTTTCAAAGTTATGTAATTGAGGATAAAACAGATAACACTAAACCTAAAAAGACATCATTACATCATATATCACTGTTTAACATTTATTCACCCAAACTTCATTTATTTTCCGAGTTTCTAGGAGTGAACTAGCCAACTCTGAAGTATGTACCAAACCCTAACATTAATACAACTCACAGAATCAACCCTAGAATTTGTGATTATGTTACTTTCTTTAATGATTTATCTGTCTTTTATCAACTTATTAGTCCTGCAATTAAATTAATTTGTTGATCTTACTTAATTATTCGTACTACATCAGTGTTAAATGTTTGTCTAGAATTACTGGGGTATACTTAAATTTACTTATATGTTTCATTGAAATACAAATTCTGGAAAGCTTGTATCATCATCATATTCAATGTAAAATATTGTTTCTTGAATTGTGTCAAACAAAACACTTTATTTTAAATAATCCAGCATGTGAAAAGAAAATACTATAGGCCAATACAAGCACCTATTTATAAATGTAGGTTTTCTACGGACACTTTACTAGTTCAGAAATTTTGCTAACATAAAATACAAGAAATACACCAGAATAACAAAAGTAATGTACTCGACGTCGTGTAAAAGAATTCCCACAAGTTAATATAATAAAGCTCTCTACTGTTGCATATCTTGTACAGTACATTCCTATACTGTGTAATGCTCCACAAAAGATTGTCTAAAAGGCGTTAAAATAAAAGGACCAGAAAAACACCCAGCTGGTCAAAATCTTGACCTCAACATACAGAAATATTAACCTGCTTACTGACCACTCCCATCCCGAGGTTATGACTTACAGGTAGGCTAGACCATCAGGTAAGATTACGGGTCACGATGGCTGACCTTTGCGCCTGTGCAAAACGTAAACACAGCATGTTACTTACTTTGTTATTCTCCAGAGCCTCGGCAGAATGGATATCTTTTGCTCCGAAGCAACTCTGACATTTCAGCTTATTAAAAATGTTCGGCTGAAATTTCTGACACTTCGAAGCCATGTTTGTTTACGAAAACAACGGCGAGTCCTTCGCGGACGGACTGCCTGCTACCACAGGTAGACACACTTACAAACTGACTAATAAATCCAAAATACTAGTAGATCTGGTATACCATAGTAAATAAATCACAAAACACGTCTGCTATGGGTCCATTTTGTCACTGGCTCGTAGTTTACATCGGATGATCGTACACGAACCGGTTCATGTTTCCCATTCCCTCACATAGGTGCGCGCGCATGAATATCTTGATAAGTAGTTCTGTGATACGGTCTGCGCAATGTGACACATGTAGTACGTATGAAACACGGCTGCCCACCACGACATCACAGACGATTTCATATGTCCAAATGCAGGTCAAATAACACGATAGTTTTAAAGAACTGTACGGCTCTTTTCTAAACCATATTACAAATCAATTGTATGAAATGAAAGTTTGAGTTTAATATAAACTTATATAATGTTAAGCGTTAAAGTGTTATGCCCGGCCAGTGACATTTATATGCTACCACGGAATTAGATTATCTTAGTCCATGATGCTACAGATAAATATTTTCAGTCCCTGTAACCATAATGATTTTTTACGGATTAATGAAAAATACTCACCGTAATTTACACCGTAACAGGAGAAACTACATAAAATTCAGGAACACCTTCCGGATCTTCGGATTAACGATTCTTGCGGACAGGTAGCGACTTTCTTTCGACGATGAGTTATGTAATACACAGTGATTCTTCATAGCAGAGAAAAATATAGCAGTAGTTTATTACTTTGCTAGGTAAATGTACTAGCGCTAGTACTTATAACACAATATCACGAAGTGTTCACTTGATGCAAGACGTCAGTGTGTCAGGTTGCACCATACAAATATCGTTAAAGTTACATATCAAAGTATGGAAGACATCTCCAAATGTAAGGTTGGGGGGGGGGGGGGGGGGGGGGGGGGGTAAATAGAATTGTCCTGCAAATAAATTTGAATTAAGAATGCATGGAAGACGAAATGTTATCTAGGTCTGTTGTACAATATGTATGCATCGAGAACCACACTGAAAATAATAAACATATTGAAAGCTACCCTACGGAATGTTTAAATATGCTACATTGCTTGAGGAAGGCCATCCTGAGAGATTACGCATTGAGAGTGACCCTAATCTGTGTACAATACCACCTTATGAGACGACGCATTGATGGCAACAATAAGAGATAAGGTTTGGGTAATCCTAAGAGATAAATTACGAAGTGAACACATTAAGAAACTACGTATGAGGAATACAATAAGAGATTAAGTACGGAGTGCCATCCTAAGAGATTGCATACGGAGGGCCACTCCAAGAGATATCGTACGGAGGGCCACTCTAAGAGATATCGTACGGAGGGCCACTCTAAGAGATATCGTACGGAGGGCCACACTAAGAGATTTAGAAAAGAGGGCCACATCGAGAGATTACGTACGAAGAGCCATATCTTAGGAGAAAAAGTACGGAGGGCCATCCTTAATGACCATTTAAGAGAATTCGTAGAGAAGAACACCTTAATAGATCACACACGGAGGGCCACCATACGGAATTAGGTACGATATACTACCCTCGAACAGATATCCTACGGAGGGCAACTTTTGAAGATTACGTACAGAGGGCTACCCTTGGAGGGATTACGTACGGAGGGTCACTATTGGAGATTACGTAAGGAAGGTAACCTTGGAGATTACGTACGGAGGGCCACCCTTGGACATTACGTGCGGAGTGCCACCCTTGGAGCTTACGTGCGGCTTGCCACCCTTGAAGCTTAAGAACGGAGAGCCACCCTGAGAGATTACGTACGAAGAGCCGTTTTAAGAGAAAACGTACGGAGGCCATCTTTCGAGATTACTTAGGGAGCCACCCTGAGAGATAACGTAGGAGAGATCATTTTAAAAAAACCGCACAGAGGGCCACTCTAATAGATAACGTAGGAGAGGTCATTTAAAAGAAAACGCACGGAGGGCCACCCTAAGAGATAACGTTGGAGAGGTCATTTAAAAGAAAACACACGGAGGGCCACCCTGAGAGATAACGTAGGAGAGGTCATTTAAAAGAAAACACACGGAGGGCCACCCTGAGAGATTACGTACGAAGAGCCGTTTTAAGAGAAAATGTACGGAGGCCATCTTTCGAGATTACTTAGGGAGCCACCCTGAGAGATAACGTAGGAGAGATCATTTAAAAGAAAACGCACGGAGGGCCACCCTAAGAGATAACGTAGGAGAGGCCATTTAAAAGAAAACACACGGAGGGCCACCCTGAGAGACATTGTAGGAGAGGTCATTTAAGAGAAAACACGAAGGGCCACCCTGAGAGATAACGTAGGAGAGGTCATTTAAAAGAAACACGGAGGGCCACCCTGAGAGATAACGTAGGAGAGGTCATTTAATAGAAAACGCACGGAGGGCCACCCTAAGAAAATACGTACGGAGGAACACCATACAAAAACTTCACGGAGGGCCGACCTAAGGAATTGAATACGATGTACTACCCTTAGAGATAACCTGCGGAGGGACGGCCACTTTTGGAGATTATATATGGAGGTTGGGGGCACCCTTGGAGGTTACGAACGGGGAGTCGCCCTGAGAGATTACGCACGAAGGGCTGTTTTAAGAGAAAATGTTCGGAGGACCACCTAAGAGCTTACGCAAGGAGAACAACCATAAGGTTTTACATATGGTGTGCTACCCTAAGTGATTACGTACGGAGAGATATCCTAGGATATTATAAACAGGGTGTCACCATAAGATATCACGTATATAGGACCACCCTAGGAGATTACGTACATAGTGCCACCTTTAGGATATCAATGCAGAGTGTCACCCTACGGTGTACCATCCTAAGTGATAACCTTCAGATGACCACCCTAGGAGATTACGTACATAGTGCCACCTTTAGGATATCAACGCAGAGTGTCACCCTACGGTGTACCATCCTAAGTGATAACCTTCAGATGACCACACTAGGAGATTACGTACATAGTGCCACCTTTAGGATATCAACGCAGAGTGTCACCCTACGGTGGACCATCCTAAGAGATAACATTCAGATGACCACCCTAGGATATTACGTACAGAGGACCTTCTTTAGGGGTCACGAACGGAGGACTACCCTTAGAAATGACGTACAGAGGACCTTCCTTACAGATAGCGAACGGAGGACTACCCTTAGAGATGACGTACAGAGGACCTTCCTAAGAGATAGCGAACGGAGGACTACCCTTATAGATGACGTACAGAGGACCTTCTTTAGAGATAGCGATCGGAGGACTACCCTTAGAGATTACGTACAGAGGACCTTCCTTAGAGATAGCGAACGGAGGACTACCCTTAGAGATGACGTACAGAGGACCTTCCTTAGAGATAGCGAACGGAGGGCTACCCTTAGAGATATCTTACAGATGACCTTCCTTAGAGATAGCGAACGGAGGACTTCCCTTAGAAATGACGTACAGAGGATCTTCCTTAGAGATAGCGAACGGCGGGCCATCCTTAGAGATTACTTACAGATGACCTTCCTTAGAGATAGCGAACGGATGACTACCCTTACAGATGACGTACAGAGGTCCTTCCTTAGAGATAGCGAACGGCGGGCCATCCTTAGAGATTACTAACAGATGACCTTCCTTAGAGATAACGAACGGAGGACTACCCTTAGAGATTACGTACAGAGGACATTGCCTAGAGATAAGGTACGAAGGGCCACCCTTGGAGATTACGTGCAGAGGACCTTCCTTAGAGATAGCGAACGGAGGACTACCCTTAGAGATGACATACAGAGGACCTTCTTTAGAGATATCGAATGGAGGACTACCCTTAAAGATGACGTACAGAGGACCTTCCTTAGAGATAACGAACAGAGGGCATGCCTTGGAGATTACGTACAGAGGACCTTCCTTAGAGACAAGGTACGAAGAGCCACCCTTAGATATTACGTGCAGAGGACCTTCCTTAGAGATAGCGAACGGAGGACTACCCTTAGAGATTACTAACAGATGACCTTCCTTAGAGATAGCGAACGGAGGACATTGTTTAGAGATAAGGTACGAAGGGCCACCCTTAGAGATTACTTACAGATGACCTTCCTTAAAGATAGCGAACGGAGGACTACCCTTAGAGATGACGTACAGAGGACCTTCCTTAGAGATAACGAACAGAGGGCATCCCTTAGAGATTACGTACAGAGGACCTTCCTTAGAGATAAGGTACGAAGGGCTATCCTTAGGGGTATGAACGGAGGACTACCCTTAGAGATGACGTACATAGGACCTTCCTTAGAGATAGCGAACGGAGGGTATGCCTTGGAGATTACGTACAGAGGACCTTC